AAAAATATTGACTGATGTGAGTTGATGATGGATATTTGTTTAGTAAAAAAATATTGATTATTAAAGAGACAATTACATGTATTGTATGTGGTATAATAATCTCATGGTGACCTTATTAAAAGTCTTCAAAATAATTTGAGTGAATTTTCAATATTATTTTTTGGCAAACAGATAGTTGCTGATAGCCTTATTTCTATTGTTTTTGACGACTTCCTCTTTATGTAATAGCAATAATTTATAAGATAGGAGTATGAGATTTTCATAATGGTGATATGCATTAACCCTGATTGTGCTTTGTGAGTGTTTTAAAGCAATCCTATGTCATGTGGATCAAACATAGTTTTGGTTTTACAAAATGAACTGTTTGATTGAGTAATAATAATATGTAGATATTGTTGATTGCAGGCACGTGGACGTATAATGGATGCCTTGGATATTATTTTACAAAAAGGAATGTTGGAAATAGACACTGATACTAGTACACAGTTAATGGCCCAGGGCTTTTCTGCTGTAATGTCATCTAGCGTCGGTGCATTATTGAGATGTATGTCATCATCAGATTTAGTACACCATCTTCTTTCCAAGGTATAAACTTATTTTTAGATGTCCTTACATAATTGAGATGCATGACATGTTTGTCTGTAGACTTGTATACAATGTCCATAAAATGCATTATATTATACCAGCTTTTCAAAATATCAAAGACGTCATTCAGGTTGATCAAGAGCATAATTTTAATTATGCAGGCCATGATAAAATACACCATATACCGTGGTTTTGATGTTTAGAAGTAGACTCTAACGTGGGTAGCATATATTAGATGTGAATCTGTATTTCTTATTATGTCAATAAATTTTGCTCAATCTACTTCACATGTATATGTTGTGGATTGTCAAAATCTTGTGGTATACCCAACTTAGGTGGTGGTTTATTGCTTTTAAATTTTCATGATTAGTTGATCAAATTAATTGTAACTAAAATTATTCCTCACATCAATTTACCATATTTTATCAGAGCTTTGGATTTCAGAGTTTAGAGGACACCCATTTTTAAGGAATCATTTTATAAGATTGTGTCATATTTTTTACAGGGCACAATGCAAACTACTTGAGCATTGAGACAATTGCCTTCAATGACTATGTGATGTTCATGCCCAGAAAATGGTTTGAGAATAGTTAAATTCAAGGCTCTTTATAATACTATTTGTGACACCTTTGTGCAATGCACACAAATTTTATGGGAATTTCTCTGTCTGTGTGTATGAATGTCTGTTTCACAGATATCTCAAGAACCGCTAGCCAGATTTCAGTACAAAGGTGCTTTGTATGGGATAATGCCAAACCTGATTAGTTTTGTATAAAAACTGTGATATTTTCGACTTCTTGTTGAAAACCGCAAGTCCAATTGCTTTGATATTACATATATAGGTACTACATGTGGACCTCTCTCAGATTTGTTCATTTCATGATGATATCTTTAATTCT